AAAAAATTTCTTTGGATCTCTATACTCACCATAAGAAACACGTAATCATTAATCTGCTTTTTACACTTGTATTCTGTGAGAACGTGGTCCTTCCCCAGGCGAACCGACCTATTCGTGCTACAACCACATTATAGATGTAGCATGGCTCTACTATGTATAATAGCTGCGTATGATGGCAATTCGTAATATAATCGTACTGATAGTGCTACTATGTGCTCCATCACCAGCTAGCGAAATTTGTATGGATTTTCTACCATCATTCTTTCACTCAAACCTCGTCCGTCAATCAGCTGAGTGACAGTCCCCTTGGCACCGCTGAAGGGACTATAGCACCGCCTAAATTTCGACGCAATCAAAGGCTTTCCATAGTCCACATACGCAAGACGAAGTGGCAGATTGAACTCTTCGGTCTTGTGTAAAATTTGCCGAAGGGTATGTATGTGGTCTACGGTACTAAAGCCTTTTCGGAAAATGGCTTGTTCGGGAGGCTGGAAGTCTTCGAGTCTGGGTGCGAGACGATTCGTAATGTCTCTCGAAAACAGCAAGTAGACGCGGCACAGAAGGGAAATCGGTCGGTAGTTTTTTAAGAGGGCGTTGTCGACTTTCTTGAAGTAAAAGACCACTGCACTTCTGCTCCACGCTTCCGGAGTAGTGTCACCATGGAGGACGGAATTTAAGAGCTTCTGAAGGACTTCAAGTACCTTTTTTTAAATTTATTTAAAAGAAAAACAATATAATCGGTAAGTGGTATCATAAAAACATCCCCTTAAAAACCCTTACGGGTTTTTGTGATATTTTTATGATACCACTTTTGAGCAATCTGTTGACATTAGTTTACACATATATTATTTTATAAGAACATCAAAAATACAATATTAGCAGTCATGGGTACATTGTTTACATAGAAGCGGATAATAAGGAACCGGTTCTAGATTGCGGCTCGGCGCAGGCAGCCGGCCGGCTGTTGCTACTTAAGTTTGTTATATACATAATGTTGCAATTATCGATATGTTATTACGTTAGGTTTAATTTGATTAAAATTAGACTACTTGTTATGAAAGTAAAGAATAAAAGTATTGTTTATATTTATGTTTACAATTTTTATGCGTTATTTCTAATTGGGTTTAAGTTGGTATGTCATTAATGAGAGTTGGTATGAAATACGCATTTGTTCGTTTTCCGTAATAGTTTCTGACTCTTGGTATTTCTAGTTTTGATTGAACTACTTTCCGTGTCGTTATTTTATGATTGACTTTCATTTGTAGTTCTTTGTTAGTAAATTATTCAATTAATAGCCACAGTTTTATTTTATATGAACAGGTAAGATTTTACAATATTTAAATAAGGCCAATACATCGTCATCGGAGCAGATTGATTATTTAATTTTATTAGGTGTTATAATTTTTAAAAACCGAAGTTGAAGGCTGTATATTTTGTCCAAATAAGTTTTAAATGTCCACCATAGCTTGAGATCCCATATGAAATTATTGACTCTGCGAGTGCATTATATAGATTTAGTAATATTTTAAATGGTACTTTGTATTTCAAGATATTAAAGAGCAACGGCAGAAAAATAGTTGACAAAAATGATAGCGTCTAGAAATAAGTTATATATAAAATGAGTTTCATTATTTTTCTATGATTTTCCAAATAAAAATGTATTTTAATTAAAGCCCCAGAAAAAAACTAACATTTTTGGGAATGTCAAATGACTGAAATCATTTTACTCTATTCAAATGTTGCCATTTAGTATATTTCTACTATTTTCGTATACACTTTGTAACACTACCAACACACCACACAAAATATTTTTATATAAAGTTATTATTAGTAATAACTGTACTATCAGTAATAACAAAAATAAAAGTAATATGGCTGAGAATAAGTCTCTTACAAAGAAATTCCTACAATAATACATTATCTCAATCATAGTACTATGTAACAATTCCATTTAATGTTATGCCAACACTAGCTAAAATAAAGTGTCACTGTTTTTTTTGCTGTCTTTACGGCTGTGGGTTCTAGCCCTTCTGAGAATGTCACTATGATACAAAAGCCCTGGAGTCATGCCAGTAATATACATTTATAGTATGCAAATATATAATAGAGATACAATAATCTAAATACTCTCAATTATGTATTATGTATTAAGCTAACATCAAACAACCACAGGAAGCATGACTTTTTCCAAGTGACATAGGACATAACCAAAAAGGTTTAAATGTAAATATCTTTTTTTTTGACGCCTTCTCGGTACAAAATTCTTTGACAGAGTTATTAAGGGACTGACGCTTAACATTTTAAGATATTTTTGGTATATAGACGCTACCATTTCTTCTCAACTAATTTTATGTATGAAAGTCTGCCATTGCTCTTTAGCTAACATTGCTCTCAGTTTGTTACAAATTGTGTTAATATGATAACCCCAGTTAAGCCTGTCATCGACTACTTGTCCTAAGTATTTGTAACGAGGAACCTGCTCTAACAACTCATATTTGCAACCGGTCCTATTTGTTTGCAAAATATGCAAGCACTGGTGACTATGCGCGATTACTTCGATTTTCTTATCAAAATTGAGTAGATGGTTAGAGCGGACATGAATAACTTTAGTTTTACTAGCATTGAGTACTAGACCAACATCATGAGACTATTTACATAAGTTAGTGAAATCAATTTGTAAACAGTGTTCAGCCTTAGCTAAATCTTTATCAGCTGCTACAAGACATGTATCGCCAGCGTATTGGTATATGGAACAGTGTTTTATTATGTTTTCCATATCATTGACGTACGCTAAATAATGCAAGGGTCCGAGAACAGAGCCTTGTGCTGTTCCAGTAGTTACCAGTAATTCGTCACTAAAGTTATTGCCAATATTTACCCGGTATTTTCTACCGTTGAGATAATCTTGGCACCATTGTAATAATGGCCCGCAGACACCTGTATTCTCAAGTTTATTATAAGAATATCATGCCTAAGAGTATCAAATGCTTTACTAAAGTCGATGAATAGTAATATAACATGTTTTTTATCATTAAGGTGTTGATTTATTTCATCCGTGAATTTAGACAGCATAGTAGTTGATTTATTAGATTGAAAGCCATGTTGAGCATTTGACAATACATCGTGTTTAGTATTAAAATTGTGAATTTGTTGAGATACATATTTTTCAACTACCTTGTCTATGACTGGCAGTATTGTTACTGGCCTATAGCTATCATAGCCACTATGCGATCACTTTTTGTAAATTGGTCTTACGATACCGGTTTTCAAATCTGGTGGATATTTTCCTACTGATATGCTAGTGTTTATCAACTTAACTACAACATTAGCTATCTTATCACTTAACATATTCATGTGAAAACATCGAATTCAATCATTACCAGCCGATTTATTTGCATTTAAACTTTTTATAACAGTTAGTATATCGCGCTTAGTAGGTTTTCTAAATAACATAGATTTATTCTGACATGAGTTTTTTGCTACACCTAGGCAAAATATTCGTAACGTTTTCGCAGAATTCCTTACCAAAATTGTTAGCTATATTTTTTAATAATAAATTGTTATTCTTAAATGCTTTGATTACAGCTTCATCTACTGACTTACAGACGCGACCATTCAGTGTATTTAATATATCCCACATTTTCTTTTTATTAGTTTTATTATTGTTAATTATATTATTAAAGTATTTGTTTCTAGATTTTGCTTTTAACTTTTGAATTTTATTTTGCTGTTTATTAAATTCTTATCTAAGTATATAATTATTGGTATCTTTTTTCCACTGATTAAAAAGTAAATCTCTTTTTTGGCTCATATTGTTAATTTTATTATTTATCCATAATTCATTGTTTCTATTGCTACTCAAATGTATTTTTTTGTATATTTAGATTGTTCGTAACATATTTCGAATTTATTTTTTATATAATTATAAATTTCTATCGAATATTACATCTTATCTACTACATTCCAATCTATTTTATTAAGCGATGGTTTTAATGTGTTATAATCAATTAGCAGTTTATTTTTTGCACCATTCTGTATAATGTTTTTACTCCGCTTCCTATGCACGACAACACAATCATACGGTGGTCCGCCATAAAAGTACCGAGCGCAGCCGAGTAAAGGTCTAGCGAGCGCGTTCTTGCAAAAATATGATCAATGCAACTCCGCGTAATAGTATCATTTCGTTTTTCGATTCTAGTATGATCTGATATTGCACTCGCTAGGGGACACTCGGCCATACAAATTATATAGTATTCACGTATGTTATTATGCGACTTCAAGTCGATATTTATATCACCCAATAAATATAAATCTAAGCGATTAAAAGAGTCCCTACACAACAGTTCTCTCAATTCCTTGATAAATAAGTGTTTGCTTTATTTGGGTGGTCTATACAATGAACAAATAAGTGCCGTGTAATGAAGTGACGTAGATAATTTCCCTATTAAAGATTCACAATGGTTTAGTGATATATTATTTAGAATTTGGAACTTGTGGGTACTTTTTATATACATCACAATGCGACCACCTCTTTGCTGTTCACAAAGTTTACAGTACATTTCATAGCCATGAATATTAAACAGTTGCATAAGATTACTGCTTATGGAAATTCCTACCTCTGTTAATAAAATAACATCAACATCAATTTTAGATGAATGAATGAATTGTAAAACTAGACAAAAATTATTAACTATTGATCGTAAATTTATATGGAAAATATTTAGTTTTTGAGTATTATGTGGTAAATGTTTACTAAAATCGTTTGTGTTGTTAGCACAGTCAAACAGTTCATGTATTTCCGGTGAAGAAACTGTTGCGTTGTATCAAACTGCTATCGATCTTTTAGCATCGACATCTTATCAATATCACATGAGGTCCTTATGACAATCGGTTTATCATTATCGTTTTTGCGAGCCAAAATTCTACCACCCTGGAACCAAATATATTTGTAAGTCTCCTTTAAGGTTTGTTTAGTTTGCCACAGGAGCGTTTTATTTGCTTTAGGTTAGTGCGCGTCGAAGTATAACTCTTGTTTTGGCTACATCAGGATTAGTGACATTGGGAATTATATCTTCCATAGCAATTGTTTCCCTTCGTGCAGCGCGGATCCACTGGTTGACCTGCTCCTCTTGTTGCAATACTAACTGGATTACACCTTCTTTGCCGCCCATGCCTTTCAGTCTCTTCACCATAGACACTTGACGTTTCTCTATATTTAGCTTCGAGGCTAGTTTACTTGAAAGTTCTTCTAAGTTCTCGTTCTTACCTTTGGGAATTCTGGTTATTTCCAGTACATTATCCAGCAGTTTTTGATCCATATTTCTTATTTGTTGTTCCATTGCATTAACTTTTAATTTCAGGTGGGTATTTTGATTTGTCAAGTACATGTTTTACTTCTCCAAGTCTTTAACTATTTCCGGTAGGGTGTCCAGTGTAGCGTTTATATTATTCATTTTAATACACCATGACCTTAACGATTCATTCACAGAAGCCATTCCTTCTTCACTGCTTCCTTTACCTCAGTTGAGATATCACTAAGTAGTTTACTCATCGCTGCCGAACCGCTTTCACCCATTTGGTTCTCATCAGTATCATCGTCATCATCCTCCGGAATTATGAAAGACTTACGATGGAGCGATTCTTTATGACAATCTTGGCATGTCCACTCCAGGTTTTCAGTATTGTGCAGCGCTGATAACTGCTTCGAAGATAAGTCTGTGCATAATTGATTGACGTGTACTACTTTTCCACATTTGTTACACTCGAGCCCAGGTAACTTTTTTGTTATGGATTTATCACAATTGTCGAATTCAGGCATTTTTTTAACTTTATACCGAATTGAAGATAAATTGAAACTAACTATTACAAGTCCGTATACAGTTCGACTACGATATGTGGGAGCTCGCAAGTGACTGAGTGGTTTTCCACCCGCTTTAAGAAGCTCCGTTGTAATTCCATCCTCGCCGGGGATTTGCCGTTTTTAAGATGCTGGAGAGCCATTCTAATCTCGCAATCTCGCTCAGACTGACGTCCGGATTATTTCTTCGGAATAGTATCGGATATGACTCGCTCTTTGATCGTTACTCACACTTGCGTGTGGCTCCAACGATGACGTGTACAGCTGCCCATAGAACCTCTCAATCTCACACAAAATCTCAGGTGTTCCGGAAACGATGCTGCCACAGTCGGTCTTCAGCTTTGACAGTTGGCTCTTTCTGGCAGACATATCCCAGGCAAAGACTTTGGAGCCTTCTTCAATACAAGCTGTATTGAAAATGCGTAAGTCCCGCCGCATGCATTTAGAGATCTGTCTGTTCAGTTGTCTGTATGCTGACAAATCTGTTGAAGAATGTAGCTTCATCTCCCGTCTAACAGCCATGAGATTAAGAGTGTGATCGGAGAGAAAAACTTAGCTTCGACCGCATGGACAGTTTCCACGAGCTTGTCATTCATAACATCCACTTCATTGCAGTCTTCTAGGCACTGAAAACGATTTTGTAGCTCGAGCTAAAAGGTTTCGGGACCTTGGAACAGAGCACGAGGGGGACGAAGCGTTGACTTCATTAGACAAGACCTCTCCAACTTAACGTTTAGGTTCAGTGTGCCTCTAACCATTCGATGATCGCTACCATCATCGAATGGTTAGAGTCCGGGACTCGACGGACTGCATCACTACTGGCTGAAGGGGTTCGTGGTGTGTTACGCTGTGCTCGCCCGACAGTTTCAAGAGGCTGTCGACGAAAAGTCACTCCCGAGCCTCTTGAGTGACCCAATGAGTGATCCCAGTAGTAACTGGGATCACTCACACCCGAGCAAATACCGTCCCATAACGTGTCTACTACAAGACACTAACATCCATTTTGAGCGTGAGAATCACTCGTCACCTGAACTCTAATCAGGTGATGTCGCGCGCTCAAAATGGATGTCGGGGCGATGGTCGTGGAACCAAGGAACCGCTCCTCATTGACGCGGTCATTGGCAAGGTGGTTAAACGTAACCGTCGGAACCTCTCCGCCTTTCGGCATTCGACTCGGTGCCTCATACAAAGCTTTATGAGCTGTACAAGGTTGACTGTACAGTTCGAGACTTCCTCGGGCAGTGTATGGGGCAGTGGAGTACGATCCTTTGTCATCTAGGCGAGCGGATGATGGCTGCGGAGAACCACATAAGGATATGAAGGGGTATCTTCCAGGGCGATTGTTTGAGTCCAATCTGGTTCTGCCTGTCTCTGAACCCTCTTAGTACCTTACTAGTGGGTTCCGGGAGGTGATTTCAGCTTCGGAGAGGAGGTACAAAAGTGACCCACCTTTTCTATATAGATGATCTCAAGTTATTCGCCTCCAGTCACTCTCATCTTATGGAATTGCTAAACATCACTTGTGATTTTAGCAATTCTATTAGAATGGAGGTGGGGACGGATAAGTGTGCGGTCCTTCATATCGAGAGGGGTAGGGTTGCTAACTCTGAGGGCATAGACTTATCTATCCCCTCAGAGTGCTCGCGGCTTTTTAAGCGCGCTTACCATACATAATCGTGAAGTGTGCAGCCTCCGTAATTACTTTCTGACAAGAGCGGATGATCCATTCTATAGGGACGTTATTTCTTGTGATAAAGGACTTACCCCTCTATCCTTAGCCAACGAGCAATGGTAAGACCCGGCAGTACAGAGCATTTCCGACTGGGAGACCGTATCGAAGAAGAAGGAGCTCCACGGTAGGTTCTACAAGGCTCTATATATCTTTCTAACTCTGAGTATTTGCACAGATACAACCTAGTAGCCAGGATTCGACACCAGGAGCTCGCTCTGAAATATGGTCTCGTGGATCGGAAACTGCCATATTGTAATTACTCTCCGGAAGGCGTGCTCGAAAATGACCGCGCCAGGCTCTACTGGGACCGGGCCATCATCACAGACAGGACTATTCTTGCGAATAAGCCTGATATTGTGCTGATGTACTGGGCACAGTCAAGGATATTTTTGGTCGACATTACCATTCCTTATGACGAGAACCTCGTGAAAGCCGAAACAGTTAAATTGACAAAATATCTGGACTTGGCTCACGAGGTGACCGACATGTGGGTTCGTCAGCCGGTCTAAATTATTCCTGTGGTCGTTTCTGCAAACAGGTTAATCCCAGTTAGCCTCTCGGGTCATCTGAGGCGACTGGGACTCCGTGACGGATCGCTCCAACCTCAAATGCAGAAGGCGGTGCTCCTCGGTACCGCCCGCATCGTCCGCCGGTTTCTTTCCCTTTCCCCCTAACCCTCGGCCGTTTGGTTTCCCCTGCTGAGGGCTTCCATCTGGTTGGGTTTTTATATATTTATGTAATTTTTATATATTTATTTTATTTTATTGATATTTATGTAAGTTTTTCATTTTCATTTTTAATTATATATTTATACAGCCCAACCAGATGAGAAAACTATACAAATACCCCATAATAATAATAAAACTAAAACTAGAAACTTAATTATCATATAGTTCTACTCTCCACCGTATCGCCAAGAACGCTGTCTGGTTTTCTCCGCTGAATGGTTATACTTAGCCTTTGAGCGAGAAAAAAATTATTAAATAATTTGAACTATTAATCCTGCAATTACATTAACTTTTATTGCTCTACCTTTTTTGCGTCTATTATATTTATTAGATGAACTTAATAATCCCTTTATTACTTTAAAGTCTATTGGACATGAAGGATATTGAAGTTATCAATATTCAGATTTTTATAGTATTGAATTTGATTCATATATAATTCAATATAATAAAAATACTCCTGAACACTTTCGTTTACTAGATGTTGATATCGAATTATCTTACCTTAAAATAATCAAATTAGAATTATAGTAACTGCTACTGATGTAGTTCATTCATGAACTATTCCATCATTAAGAGTAAAAGCAGATGCTAATCCTGGTCGATTAAATCAAAATATATTTTTTATTAATCGATCAGGAATTTCTTCTGGTCAAGGTTCACAAATTTGTGGAGTTCATCATAGTTTTATACCTATTGCAATTGAGAGAATTTCCATTACGAAATTTATTAATTGAATTAATAATTATTCATCATTAGATGACTGAAAGCAAGTACTGGTGTTTTAAACCTTTTAATAGTAAATTAGACCGATTACTTCTAGTGAAAGAATTAGTTAAAATACATAACATAAATATGTCAAATATAAATTATTACATTAGTAATATTCTTTTATTCCTCAAATAATAACTATTAGTTGATTATTATCTTTATTATTATAATTTTTATTTTATTTAATATTTTAATTATTATATTTTTAATGTTAATAATTTCAAAAAATATTTATTTTCATTAAAAATAACTTTAAAATATAAACTGAAAATGATAAGTAATTTATTTTCAATTTCTTATCCTCCAAAAAATTTATTTAATTTACTATTAAATTGAATAAGAACTTTTATTGGTTAAATATTTATTCCTTTTTCTTTTTGATTAATTCGTAATCGACATTATATCTTTTGAAATTTTATTACTAATAAACTTCATAATGAATTTAAAATATTATTAGGAATTAATGGATTTAATGGATCAACTTTCATTTTTATCTTATTTTTTAATTGTTAAATGCTCTGATTTAATAATTTAAATACCTAGAAAAAATCATTAGAATGGCTTAATGATATTTCTTTTTGTATATCTGGGCAAATCACCGTGCAGTGCCGGTGTAGGAATATGCACTACCCCAGATCGTCCCGAGGGTGTTGTAAGATGCGACAGAGGAAAACAAACCAGGGCAGCAGCATCTTCCTAAACCAATTTCTCGTGTTGAATAGACGCTTTTCTGTCTAGTTTTATTTTCTATTTGACTTGCAACTTCATAAGTTTATTAAGTATTCCCAATGGATAAACTTCTTTAATGTAGAACGGGATATTTTTTAAGCATTGTTTATTTTTCTAGATAATTATTTTACATCATTTTATATTGTAATGTACTAACACAGATCTAAGTTATGCTCCTTGCTTTTCTTTCTATACTTCCTATCTTTTATTTTATTTTATTTAATAAGTTTTTTAGGATTATTTCTCCATATTTTCACCAATACAAGTCATTTTACTATTTCCTCATCAATTAAATTATCTTTTTGAATTAGATTTATACTATATGGATGAATTAATAATTATCAACATATATTTATTCATATACTTTTACAAGGAACCTGAAGTATTTTAATACCATTCATAGTATTAATTGAAACTATTAGTAATATTATTCGTACAGGAACTTTAGCTGTACGTCTAACAGCTACTATAATTACAGAACATTTATTATTAGAGAGACGGATATTTATCTGCACATGGTTCTCGAGGTAACCGACATGTAAAGTGGTCTGCCGACCAAAATCATACCTGTCGGGTCGTCTGAGACGACTTTGAGTCCGTGACGTACTGCACCGGTCTCAAATGCAGAAAAAGATGATTCACCTTAGCGTTCGGATCGTCTGCCGGTTTTTTCCTTTTCCCCTAACCGTCAGCCGTTTGGTCACCCCTGCCGAGGGATTCTATCTGATTGGATTGTTATTTATTTGTGTATTTCTTATTTATGAACTTTGCTATTTTAAATGTAACTTTATGTGTATTTATTACTTTCTTTTATATTTTTATTTAGCTCAATCAGATGAAACTACTTTTATAACCCATAATAATAACAATCGCATCATCCGTTGGCTTCTTTCTCTTTCCTCTTAACCTTCTATCCATTTGTTTGGGTTTACATTTATTGACGTATTTTTATATATTTGTTTAGCCACATTGAATGTATGCTTACTATTTTCTTTTATGTCATT